CATTACCTTCTTAAGTAAATTTCATTCTGAAGTTAAAAATTGGCCTCCATCTATTGATCAATGATTAGTTACAGATGGTCTCCTGATCAAAAGATATTTATGTAAATAATATTCGACAAACAGGAATATGAGATGAAGAATGTAAAAAACAGTTAAGAATAGTTCTGTCTGCTTCCTTAATTCATTGTAGTCATATATATATAAAGTCTGTCACAGCCAGTGTTTCAGATAATAATCTATCATTTTGGAAATATAGGATTCTATGTATTGTCTTCGAAAATGGAAGCGAAGTGAGAAAAATGGTTCACTTAAACAATTTAGGATTACAGAGATTAAAATAGCATTCCTGTTCTTTTTATTCTTCAACAAGTTGAATAATTTAAATATGTGTAATCACTTTTATTGATTCGATTTCATAATATGGCTGCGGTAAATTTCAACCACATATTTTCCTACTCTTGATCTGTCTCAGTAGTGAGAATGTTTATTGAGAAAATATTTCAAGAAGATTTGTTGATTGAAAATATGTTTTTGAAAATAATTGTGAAACTTGAAGATTGTAAAAGAAATTGTACTCGTCCTAAAACTGGAAAACTATGGATCTCTATTAGCAAGAATTTGTGGTTATATACTACTACGAAGTTCCAGAAGTGGACAAACTATCTATTCATTAACTCATATAAATCTTCGACTAATGGATTATTTTCTCAAATAAGGAATTATTAAAAATTCTTTGTAACAGAAATGATTTCTTGGCACATTGTTATTGGAAAAAGAAATATGCTAGTAAAATAATCTTCATCGCAAGATCTACTCTTTCATTGACATAAATGAATTCGATTATATTTTCTTAACTGAAACTTAAAGCTTTACAATTTGAAGCTGAGTAAATAAAACTGAAATTTTTTTAAGCATACACAATAGAAAACTGTGAATTTCTTGTTTATAAATGTGTCCAGATATGTATGGATGTTTAATTTTATCCTTTCAATTTTTTTAGTGTCAAATTTTCCAGGTGTGAAGCAGTGCTCAACAAAGATAGTGGATGAGTGTGAGCAAGACCATGGATTGATCGAAGTCAGACATTGACACCTTGGTGTGCGACCCTAGTCGTCCAGAGGAAAAGTGTTCACTCTCATGACCAAAATTCCAGGGTTCGATTCCTGCGAGTAGCGGTAGTCGCGGATGAGCACTGCCATTGAGTTATATGCCCGGACTCAAAGGCCGTCCAGTGCTTCCAGGTTTCTAACGGTGGTCTAACATTTCATAGCAGTGACGTTTCTTAAATGCTAGGCAAATTACAGATAGCAATTTGTTTTTCACACTAATTCGTCAATATTTTGACTTCACTATCACCAGTTCCTTGTTGCTTGGTAAGATAAGACAAAGATTCATTTACAAAATACAGTTATAAAGAAATTCAAATGAGTTTATACTATTTCCTTTCTCCTTTGCCATTCAATATTCCAGTAGTCATTACTTTCGTTAGAAATGAATGTGGAATACATAAACATTAGCAAATGTTCTTAACTAAATTCCACGTTCACCTGATTTGCATAGAAGTACATCTGGTTAATTTGGTGACTTGTTTGAATCATTTGACATATGTTGTTTGCAATTCTGACCAATATCTCTATTTTTTAGAATATAACAGTCAAACAATCTCGGCGCATAACTAAGTAATAAAAAAATGGATTAAGCGACATTGTTTAAATTCATTTGTTCAATTATTTCACCAAACTAATCAGTAGTTGCTGTTATCAGAGCTTGTTGAATTTTTATGCCCGCTAAGCAAACTAATCAACATGACACTTTTTAAACAAAAGTTACCATTGTGAACAATCTCTGATGAGTTTGAAAACAGTAATACAGAAATAGAAATATTTTTGACGCAATACGGATCAATTGAGTGAAGTTATTGATTTCTCTTGACAATATTTACTAGCAGAATGGATTAGTTATTCCATTTCATTCAACCTGAAAGGTGTGAATATCTATTATTGACTTACTGTGAGGAACCAATGGCGTTCACATATCTGTTACATCTAAATGCATAAATACCAGCATATGCAATCATCGTAGTAGTTGAGTTCATTCTAAATATTCATTTCAGAAAATCAGTTTTTAAGATTATTTTTGCTGTTTTATTTCATATTAACAATTTGTTAAAAGAGACTTTAGTAATTGGGTTTGTTATTCAACAGATTTATTCAAGCACAGTGTATGGTAGATTTTCAATAATTCATTTGTTTACTGTTTCGAATTTCACGAATTCCAAGGTAGGTATTTCTTCAAATTGTAAGTAGTTAGAAATAGTTTGCTTCATCTGTTGTAATGTCTAGTCTTGCCTATCTTTCTAATCGATTGGATAGTAAGTGTTCAGTTAGCTTATGAAGTGAAATACTGATTACATTTTTCATTTACATGTTGTCTAGTTCAATCACCTTATGGAAAAAACAAACGTGAACTAAGTGATTTGTAGTGTTTACTAATATGTCTAGCCTATACGGCTTGTCCTAGCCTTGGAACAAATTAACTGATACATTCTTCTTGAGTAACTGTTCCCAGGTCTCTCAACCTTGTGAATTACTTGCTAATGACATTGATTGCCTTCTATCTGAGTACGTATGTGCATTGCCTGTTTCTCATATCACATATCTAGCTTATTTTTGTCTGACTATTCATACTTGGTCATACCTTATCTCATGGAGTTAGCCCACTAGCCTCCGCTTCACTTCGCTTCGCTCTTACGATTCTATTTATTGTCTGTCTGCTTACACGAAAGTATAAAATAAATCCACTCACAAAAATCGTATTGGGCTTCTTATTACTACCGTCATACAAACGGAGCTAACCAAAGAGTAATAAATTTGAAATAAGATGGACGATTTATTTAATTGTGCGTAAAAATTGGAGTTCGATGAGTCCGTTTCGTCCTGGTATGGGACTCATCAGCCGTGCACATCCACGACTCCTGCTCCTCGCAGGATTCGAACGCGGGACCTTTGGCATTGTAGGCGAACGCCTTACCATCGGACCACTGGGCCGGCATCCAACGGTGTTAATGTCTAACTCTGATTGATCTAGGGATTTTGCGCGACCTCACCCATTTGTCTTTGGTAGTTACTGCCTACACCCGACAGGGTTGAACTCCATTGGTAACGTCTTCTCAACTAGAACTCCGAGAATTTCCTCACGAAGCTAGTCGCTAGTGAGCACTGTTACGATATTTTGGGGCACAGTTTTGGAGGTTTGCGATATTTTACACATTTGAAATCATCAATCAATCATTGTCAGAAACTGGTACACTTCATGAAGTAAACTTTCATACTTGTATGTGATAACCTGCTTAATAGTCAAATAGAAAATTCTGATGGACAACTAATCCATATTGTTAAGAGTGAGTAGAATAAAAATAATTGTTAATATTTTTTTTCGATTTCTCTATTATACAAGTATAAATTACAAGATAACAAGACAAAAGTAAGCAATCAGTGAGAGAATAGAATAAAATTTTAGAATCAACATTATCCACCAACTAATTTCTCAAAAATAACATTTTGTCTTGTTGGTAACACTGTTTATAAACCTTTTTGAAAAAGGGACACTTGAAAATATCAAGATGCTGACGACTATAGTAATGATTACAGTGGGAAAAAGTGCAACATTCGTTCTCTATGGTTTATTGTTACCGAAAAACGAACATATTCGTTTAATTTTGAATTAGGGAAGCATTTTATTTTGTGTTACACGAAATATCCTAATTATGCACAATACCCATCATATTAGGATGAGTAAATTATTGTTTAAGCTGTGTTTAAGCTTAAATATTTGATTATATAAAATCAGTCCTGTTTACATGTAGGATTTATTAATATCGAATTTAAAGCCCTTTATCAATAGTATGTACTGAAATGTTGAGTTTTCCAGAGTTTGTACAGTTACGTCAAGAATCTTCAAATGATCATCGTATATCCTGTTTGAATTAGGAAATATTTCAAAGTTAAATTTATTTACCTTTAGTATTCAAGCAAAAAAGGTGAGTTTTGATACTGCTAACTTTCATCAACTGAGTACTAAGGTGACACTTAAAACTTACAGTGCCATAGTGAATCAAAAATATTCTCTTTCAAACAATAAATCATGAGTATCGACATATAAATCCAGATTTTAAAAATATGAAAACATTTTCGATTCGTTGAGAAGAACTACAAAATAATAACATGCATCATGAATTCAGCATAATTTTTACTCGAATTCTACCAATGAAATTTTTAGTTTGATAATTAGTTTAAGTGATACATTTTGTTTTCTTTCTGCAAACAAAATTGTTAATGACAATATATCATTAGATAATAAATACTTAGTAAGCATCTAATATTTGTAATATAATTACGATTATTTGTTACCAAAGATAGTTGGAATTTTACGTCTCCGGAAAAAAGTCGACTAACAATGATTGTGTTTGAATATCATTTTCCTTCATTTTGGAGGTTCATCTTACAGAGATATATCATTGAAAAGAGATTCTCGATTAAAATATTCTTGTAAAATTTCCTTTGATATTATGATAAGATTTCAATGAAATAAAGATCACTTTTAAATGTAATTTTGTCTAACTTTACTTCAGGCATAAATTTGATTGATCAGCTAAAAAAAAACTGAAACTTTTTAGTTCAAACAGTAGGTATACTGCTGTAAACACGTGTATTATGTTTTAGCCTGTAACAACCATTAAATTTATTTCATTGAAATCATGAACCGATGAATTTTAGACCACCAATGAAAAACCTGAAAGCACTAGATGACCGTTTCTTACTAGTATGAGACTCCCCAACTATTGATTTCATTCAAAAAATAAAATCTGATTTAGATTTATAGAAATGCGTTTTCTAGATTGATTTCGAAATTAACGTACAAAACTGCAAGAAGAGCAAAACATTTTCAGAGACAAAATCAAAGTTCAGAATTGTGCAATAACATAATTTTCATTATAAAACTTACTTGTCAATGTAGTCTGAATATTCAATAGGGGAGAAAGATAGGTTTTTTGTTTTATTGGAAATCTCTTTTTTAATTCCAAAGAACTGATTAGAAATTGGGATTAATTTTAAAGCACTATAAGCTATTGGTTTTATACTAACTGGATCATTGTCAATTAATTGAATTGGAATATGACGTATTGTGGTTGGTAGTGATGATATACTTTCACTTTTATTGATTATCGATGGAATAGGCAATACATTAAGTGTAGATTTTGAAGTAGTAAGTCCGGATTCGCATGAATTATTACTTTCCACTTTATTTTCGTTTTGTTTCGATTCAGGTGGACGTATATTTAGGATAGTCTCACTTCTTGTAATTCTTTCTCGACTCCAACAACGTATAATTTCTTGTCTTCGTGTTTGTCTTGACGGTGATCGATTCCCATTATTCATGGGATCTTGAACTCGAATATATGAATTTTTACGAAGTTGATGCAAACTGTAAATTGAATGAACTTCTTCTTTTGAAATTGCACCCGGAAGGGATCTATCTCTAAGTTTATGTAATCCGTCTTGAGATACTTTTCGACTAATGCGATCATTAATAGAGCTGATATCTGACCTTGATAATCGACCATTTAGATTTGGTTGAGATGTAGTTGATGAATCGAAATGACAACTTAATAGATTTTTATTTGTGATATATGTATTTTCATCATTATTTAAAAAACTTGGAGCAGTTAACCTACGAACAGCTTTACCACCTTGAGTTGAACGGTATGGAAACTCAAACATTGAATATTTTTAATCTGTTCACTTTATTTTTTCCTAAACCAACGATTGTAAATTCAAGAACTATTTCTTGAATAACATACTATGTCATACTATGTGTCTGAACAAAACTCAAGGTCACTCACAGAAATACAGAAATTAATATCAATAGAAACAATTTTCGAGAAACAACAAAAGCATAAAGTTCACTTTTCCTCCAACAATTGTACGTATAAATGCTTGTTGAATATTTTTTTTATCCAGTTACCATTCTTCATTCATTAGCATTCTTTAAAATATCTTGTTAAATGGGTAAATAGAAGTGGAATATCAAATCAAAATTATTGAAAGGATTATTGGTTCATTTTACATGAACCAATGACATTTTGCGTTTGGATTATGTTACAATGAAAATTTTGCTACTACTCGTTTTATTTGTTAAATCAACAAAACTAATGTACAGTATTGTGAAAATTTGGAAGGAAACAAGATATCTTCTGAAAAGTTTAAACATCTCCTGTAATAAAATCTACAAGGAGACCTAACCACCTTTTTAAATTTCACTGCTAAGATTCAACTTGATAATTTCACTTTGACTTAGTACGGGTCGATTCGTATATGATAAAACTAATGCAGTATTAAAATTGAAAATGTGTAAAAACGAACGTTTAGTATTTCGCGACATAATCGAAAACATTTACAATCATATATATGTTAATGTTTGTAGACGATAACAGTTCCAAAATACACAGTATTTTCACTGTGTATACTGCGTGTAATCCAAGAAAATTTAGATCTTTGAGTGACTAGTAGTTTCATTAAGATTTCAAGTTGATGCGCAGTTCAGACAAAGTGAAAGATGAGTTTTACATAAAGCTTTCGGACCTCCTCCAAAATGTTAGGCGCTCTGATATAGTAATAATGGCTGTTGACTTCAGTACTCAAGTAGGTAGACTCAGCGAAAAGTAAAATCACCTGGGTGAATCATATGGTGCCGCAGCTCAGAGAACAAACAATGGCGACCGTGTGTTGCAACTATGCTCAGATAACCGCCTATTTCTAGCAAACACTAAAATTAGGCATAAGGAAAAGCATCTCCTGACATGGCGACCAACAAAGTCGTCTAAACGTTGGACCCAACTAGATCACATCGCCATAAGCCATCAGTGAATAGGCTCTATTGAAGACTGCCGCTCATTTTAGAGCACTTGTTTAGACTCAGACCATGTTCTAGTGAGAGCGCGTATTTGTTTGCGTCTCACTGGACTTAGGAAAGACACCGCAAGGAAACCCCTTAGGGTAATACTTAATGATAATAAAGCTAAGAATATATTTCAGGAAAAACTAGAGAAACAGTTAAACGATCATGAAGTTAGTGATGTCCACCCTGATGCAGCTTAGAATGATATCAAAAGAGCTGTGCAAACAGCAGTGGTATCTGCTAGTAATGTAAACCATACGGTTAGGGAGAAGCCATGGATTTCAGTAGCATCTATGAAACTAATGGATGCTCGGAAGCTCATTCCTCCTGACTCTAAACATGATGAGGAGCGGAGTCAGCTGAGACGCAGGCTGATAAAAAGCCTTCGCAATGATCGCTAACAGTGGTGGGTAACGAAAGCGAGAGAGATGGAAAAGGCAACGGTGATAGGCAACAGTAGACAACTTTTCCGACTTATCAAGGAAACTTGTATCAGGAATCTGAATGTGAGTGAGACTATCTCAGAAAAGGATGGCTGTATCATTCATTCTCAATCCGGGAGATTGGATCGATGGACAAGACACTTCAGGGATCAGTTCAAATGATCCTCATCCATACTTCGGTTGCCCAAGATCCCTAATGATCCTGAAAGGCAAATCGATGTAAGTTATCCGACCCTTTATGAAGTTGAGAAAGCGATAGGAAGTCTGAAGCGAAGGAGAGCAGTGGGTCCTGATAGACTGACACCTGAGATTTTTAAGGACGGTGATCCAGTTTTAGCAGCTAGATTGACTGAGATCTTAGGTAGAATCTGGGAACTAGACGTCGACCCATCCGATTGGTCTCGATCACTGATTGTCCAATTTTTAAGAAAGGACAAAAGTCCTCTTGTGACAATCACAGAGGAATAAGTCTAACTAATATAGTTTCTAAATTGTTAGCCTCGATTATCCTTAGACGCATAACTAGAGCTCGTGAAAAGCAGACTAGAGAAAACCAGGCTGGTTTTTGACCTGGACGCGGCTGTATAGACTACATCTTCATACTAGGAAAGGTCTTGGAACACAGATACACATTTAGGTGTCCCACAATAGCTGTCTTCCTGGACCTAAAAGCGGCATTTGACTCAGCGGATCGTGAGGTTCTGTGACAGTGTCTGTCGTTGAAAGGTGTACCAAAGAAGTACATTAACCTTATACAAGCTCTCTACTCGAACACCACTGGTCGAGTGAGAGCTTATGGCGAACTGTCGACGGAATTCTTTACTTCAAGTGGTGTCCGCCAGGGATGCCCACTTTCTCCATTCTTGTTTAATTTTGTCATAGAAATGCTCCTAGAAATAACCTAATCCTCGTCTGGATTTTTAGGGGTAGACCTACCAGGAAAATCGCTTACTGACCTAGAATATGCCGATGACATAGTTCCATTTGGTGAAGATGCTGAAAAAGTGCAGAGTCTTCTGACCACCCTAAGCAACAATGCAAGCATGTTCGGGATTTGGTTTTCTCCCTTTGTCTTTCTAACCTTATTTCACTGAATTATACTTCTTGAATAATTTCTTCAAACCCTAGTGTTCTTCATTACCATTAATACCTCTACTATCTTTATCACTATGGGATTTGATTTGACATTTGCGTCTCTGTGCTAATGTGGTATGGCAACATGAACTTATGTACATACGTACGTAGTTCCACGTTGCAACTGAGTGACTGACTTACTTATCCGTTTGCTAACCAAAGGACGAGTGTACTGGGCAGTAGTTCGCTCCATCCTACTATACCGATGCGAAACATGGCCAGTGAAAGTAGAGGACATTCGTAGATTGCTTGTCTTCGATCATAGATGTCTCCGAAGCATTGCTCGTATATTCTGGGACAACTGAGTAAGCAATGCTGTCGTTAGGAAACGAGTACTAGGTAAGGATGGCAAACTAATAGATGAAGTATTGAAACTTCATCAGTTGAGGTGGTTGGGACACGTGTTAAGAATACCCGACCACCGACTGCCTCGTCGAGCTATGTTTTGTGGTGTAGGAATAGGTTGGAAGAAAGCTAGGGATCGGCCAGGCCAAAACATGGCAGAAATGCATGAAGTCATTGACAAGTGGACTGAGTGATGTTGCTAGGTGTCAACTACCTAGTTGGGGTCCGCGAGATGATAATAATCGATGATTAGAGACTTTGAATGACATGTCTCAAAATCGATGGCAATGGCGCAGTTGCATTCATTCTTTGTGTTATCTGAAATTCTAATCTTCTGAATTTCTCAATACCTTTATCTTTCTTTTTAAGTTCATTTCACTAGATTCTACCTATTGAATAATATCTTTTAACTGTAATCTCTCCGATTACTGCTTATAACTTTATTACCTCTACTACTATGGGATTTGAATTGACAGTTATATCTCTGTGCTAATGTGGTATGGCAACATGAACTGCTATTCGTACCCACGTACGAAGTTCTTCGTTTCTATTGATTGATTGATTGATTAAGTTGATGTTGATGAACACCATCAGACACGTGAACTAAATTTAAAGCTTACAATCAAATGCATTTTACATTTGAATACTGATAGCGTACCTAATATCGTTATTGGTATCTCTCTCTAATGAGAAGCCGTGATCACTGGAGTTCAACCTGGTTGAGTCTGGGCAGTTACCTACCAAAGACAATGGGTGGGGTTGCGTAGTACCTTGGATTGATTAAACTTAGACATTATCAACTTCGGATGCCGTCGTCGTGGTCTAGAGATTAGGCGTTCACGCACGAGGCTGAAGGTCTTGAGTATGATTTCCGCAAGCGGGGATTGTAGGTGCGCATTGCTGATGAGTCCTGTACTTGAACGGAACGGGCGTCCAGTGCCTTTAGGTTTCTAATGGTGGTCCAACAATCATTAATTCATTCTTTCAGTAATTAAAGAAGGCAAATATTACAATTCGTCAATAAACAAGTAAATTTATGATGAGTTGGAAAATATAATCAGGTTTGATACAATACTATTTTCACGTCTTTTACTTAACTGTATTCGAAGCGAAATCAACATAACCTATTTTCCAGATAAATGAATATTTTTGGTTTCAAAACTATGGCTGTTCATGAATTTTAACCTTAGCCATTAGATACATGTTATTCAAAGTGATTTACTGTGTCTCAAACTACTATTTTCTGTTTTAAGTTCATTATTGGTTGTAATTTTCTATAGTTTTCATCATCGATTATCTTGACTGTTTTACTAAAATATCATAAAACAAGTCTCATGTTAACTTGAAAAAATTAATTATACTTGATTAAAATTTTTAATGGATATTAAAATTAATAATCCAAAAATTCTTGCTTTTATGGATGCTAGTACATCGAAACAGTTTAATAATATGGATTCTAGAATGGAAAATATAAATTTTTTTAATGATAGAAAATCAGTTTGATAACTAGTGCTTGTGATAAAAACTCTTCCGTTCGTCTGAAAATTATCATTTGTAGATGAAAACCTAATGATTACCGACAAGAACTTTGATAGGTAGTTAAAGTGATTATCTTGTTATTGCAAACGGTGGGTATATAAACGCTTGAATTGTTAAAAAGTTTTTCATTTGGCATTGAATAAAAGGGTAATTTATTGACAACGTATTTCATAATGTAAGTTAAAATCGTTTTGTTTCTTATTGTTTATACTACCTAGTTGACCTTCCATAAGTGGCATCAGATAATTTAAAATTAATGTTATTATTAAACAAAAATTCCTATGCATGTTACAACTTACAGAATAGTTTATTTGCTCGGATCTCTAGGAATTTTGTCTCTAGTTAGGATTGGATATTTAGTTGATTCTGTTATGGTAAAAAAGGAATATTTCCAAGACATTCGTCTTAATTCTCTAAGTACATTCACTAAGAAGATTATATCCTGAAACATTTTCACATGGCGATGAGTGATACAACCAACCTATT